TTACATGCATTACATGCATTACATACATTACATACATTACATACACTACATACATTACATACATTACATACATTACATACATTACATACATTACATACAATACATACATTACACACACTACATACATTACATACGCACACATACATGCATGCATGCACACATAAATACATGCATACATACATACATACATTCATACATACATACATACATAGACATACAGACATACATACATACATACATTCATACATACATACATACATACAGACATAAAGACATACAGACATACATACATACATACACACATACACACACATACACACATACACACGTACACACGTACATACGTACATACGTACATACGTACATACGTACATACGTACATACATACATACATACACATACACACATACACACATACACATATACATACATACACAGACATCCATACATGCATGCATACATACATACATACATACACACATACATGCACACATACATACATCCATCCATGCATGCATGCATGCATGCAAAGATACACACAGACAGACAGACAGACAGACAGACAGACAGACAGACAGACAGACAGACAGACAGACAGACAGACAGACAGCCATGCATGCATGCATGCATGCATGCATACATACATACATACATATGTATATATATATATACACATACCTGAAAAATCCATTACCTTCTTTTTTTTGGTAGTTACACAAACTAGTAACTAGTTTTTCTTTTAAAAACAAACATAGTTTTTTTTTAAGGCTAGTATCCCCCAAATATTTATAGAATAGATTAAGAAGGTGATGGATTTTCCTTACAAGCCAACATCAGCACAATGCACAGATACAAAACGACATCCATCAAAATCCAACACATGCAAACCCCAACAGGGTCCCAGCGGACAAAATGGGAGCCCGGTGTCCATCCGCATGGATCATGGCAGAGGAAGGTGAAAGGAAGGGGCCAGAAATTCCCATAGCAAGTGGTACATCCTGATGAAAACCAATTGATGTAAAGATTCAACCATGGCATTGTATGAATTTCCATGTTGGGGCCCTTTCCCCACCAAGATGTGTTGGATCACTCATCAAATTCAATTCCAACATTCTTTGGATTGAACGGAACCCCACTTTGGGCCATAGATTGCCATTCATTCAGGCCTTTGACCTGTGCGCAGCTGAATTGGAAGGGGTGACCATTGAATAATATATGCTTAAGATAGGGTAATGTAAGGGAATTGAAAAATAGATAGTTTTTTTTTAAACAAAATTTGACTAGCTGGGATGGCCCCCCCGCCCATTTGATAGGGGAGTGGCAGTGCCCACTGAGATCTGGTGCTCGTGGTGTCTGGCTGTGCCCACTGAGATCCGCGGTCGCAGTTGGGGTCCGGCAGTGCCCACTGAAATCTGGCGCTCGCGGTTGAGGTCTGGCAGTGCCCACTGAGATCTGGAGCTCGCGGTTGAGGGTGGGGTGGAGGACGAGGAGGTGAAGGAGGAGGAGGCCACCAGATGCAATATCGATCCAGATGTTGCCACAGTGTTAACTGCTGCAAAACTATGTCCGTTGTGCTTGGAATCAAAGGTTTCAAGACGCACTTCACTACGGAAAACGGGGAACTTTTGTCACATGTTTTCCGCGAAAGCTCGCGAAAGTGTATTTCAGACACATGGATGCCGCGAAAGAAAAACCCTGCATCGCGAAAGGTTCGCGAAAGAGATGGCGAAAGGGAAGACAGAATAAAACACAAAGTAATGGGGTTTTGGCAACCGCTCAAATGTTTTTTAGTGGTTATGAAACATAATGTACTATTTGTTTTTCAACCACAAAAAAGCGGATATAAGCTTCAGTAGGTATATAATGGTATATATAATTATATATATATAATTCATATATATATAATTCATATATATATATATGATATAATATGATATGATATCAAATGATATAATATGACATTATATAATATGATATGATTTGATATGATATATTTCAATATGTCACATATACAAGTCATGAAACTACTTTAGGGCTGGTTGCCACCCGGAGACTTGAATTTTCGTGTTAAGCCCAGCATTGACAAACGCTCGACTGATTGAATCACCAGGGGTGGAGTGACGGCAACCTTTGCCTTGAGGCAGTGATCTCCGGCGAGCAGGGGCCCCAGCACGTTGGTCGTATCAGCCGCGCGTTCCAGGGCGGAAGTTTCGATAGTTTCGATGATATTCAGTGGCTATATGTGGTTATCGGAAATGCGAGGCCTATAGCAGATTCGTTTAAACGCCAGTGGTGTCTCATTGAAATCACCTGAACATCTTTTCAGGGCGAGACACTGCGCAACCAAAACGCCCAGCTCTCTTGTGGCAACAGAACACCCGAAGCGTCCTGCGTACCTTCCACCGACTCAGGGCAAGTGCCAGCTGAGCAGTTTGGCGCAGAAAGCTGCAGACCAAACAGGGCACGTATCAACAGGAAGATGCCATGGGTTGCCCTGTGGGTTTTATTTGGTTTTATTTGTAATTATCTATATAGTTATCCTTCAACCATAGCTACATAACCTTGAGATTCCCTGAGAGATTTTTTTGCAGGACAGCAGTGCCCCAGAAAAGCATTTAAACTACTCCCAACCAGCTTTACCATCTTTAACACTACTTGCTACTCTCACAGCCACTTCATCTTAAGATATCTTAGCCTTTTATGTCCTTTCCTTTCGATCGTTTCGCCAATGGAGCAATGCTGCTGCGTCCAGAGTTCAGAAGGTTGATCTCCAAGACGGCAAGAATCAGATTCCTTGTGTGATCCTATATTATATGATGTAGCAAGGGAACAGGCAGATTACAACGATTGTTGTATTCACGCATTCACTCGGACAAGGGTAGAGGAAGGATCTTTCTGAAACAGTTTGTAAAGTTGATACGTGTCAATGCCCGCTGAGCGCCGCGCCATTCTGCAGCCCGAATGGTTTCATGTATAGTTAGCGGTCGGGGATTGCGACCAGCATAGTTTTGAACAGTTTTGATGTACGCAAAATGAATGGATACCGTCTTCAGCCTTTGGTATTTGAGTACAATGCCACCTAGACCAAAAGGATGACTCCAAAGTTGTTGTTACCACCAAGAAAAATGTCGCCGATGCGACTTCACCATGCTGGTTTGGATCTTGTCCTTCGGGGTTGCTCCACCAGGAATTGCTTGACAGAATAGGGTTCAAGACGATTCAAGCATCTTCAAGAATATGTTTCAATGTGGTTCAATGGTTCAATGGTCTTGAATTCCTGCCAGGGGTTGCCACCTTCCGGAGTCGGCTGTTTGTGACGATCCGGATGACTCGATAAGACTGACTCGATGATACTCGATGACTCAATGACCACTCAGAGATTGATGGGAAAGGTATTGCATGACAAGCGAGCCACACGGGCTCAGCTCCGTAGCAAGGCCCCGCGTTGCTCGAACTGAGCGCCGAGGGTCTTCGCGGGTGACACACGACATGCATCGATGTGCCAGTAAAATGCATTGAACTCTTCACCAGTTACATGTACTACCAGCTCCTGTTACTAGTGCAATCCTTTTTGACACCATCAATGCCCTAAATGACGCACTAGCCGTAGGCCATCGCAAAAGCATGGGTTTACCTAGATTGCGTCCACCTGAAAGGGAGCAAGCCGCTGGCCACTGGTTTGCGATGTTCAGAGTGTGTGGCCCCGTCTCGAAAACACGTTGGCATCTAGATCTGCCTTGAGAGTGCGGCAAGCAATGTGCATCATGGCATGGGCCCGCATTGCTGGGTAGCACAGGAGTGAGGAGAAAGAAGAATGGAGCAAACAGATTGCAGAGAAACACCGGAGAATCAGGAGATCTTTTGACACTGGTATATGTCATAGATCTTGTTCAAGGCTGTTCTGTTCTGTTCTGTTCTCCTTTTGCTTCTCTAATCACCAACTAAGGCAGTGACTGTGGTGTCTTGAAGGCAATGAAAACTAGACTCAAATGGAGGGTGCAGTCTTTAATACGGGCAACGCCGCTTGTGATCTTCAGTGTTTAATTTCAACCTGTTTGTCATCTCATCTCCACCAGACCAGCCCCAACTAGAAATATTAGAATCATTGGAATCCGTCGGCAAGCTACAACAGGATAGACTGATTGGCAGCCTTCCTAGATTTTCATTGCTTTGTAGGCAGCAAGGCCCACTGCGGCCAGCGTGCGTTTAAGACGCAGCCCACGGTCCATACTTCGCAAAGGTCCATGACTTTTCAAGAGCTTGGAGGGCATCACAAGCGGCATCAATTTACAAAGACCAAATGCTCTAGATTGTATAGCCAAGGATTCCCTTAATTACTTCACTTCTTTCAAAAGAGAATATAGATGCGACATATAGATTAAACATGATTAAAATGATTCCAAAGCTCACACACTTCTGGGTCTGGCCTCGCTTTAGATTCTTACAAAGGCAGAAAGGACGATTTTTTGATCTTTTGCCAAAAGGACCCAGCATTCACAAGGACACAACGTGGAGTCCTGAATCATTAATCCCCATCTGCTGGGCACAGTCTCATGAGTCAAATGAAGGCTTTACCACGGCATTCACTGAATGGAACGTAGGATTTGCCTCCAGCTTGAAGCTCCTGGATCAGGATTAAGGGTCAATAGCCGATGGCTGCCCTTTGCAAAGGCCTCGGCACTCTTGTGCGGATTGGTCACACTGTGATCTCAGCCTTGCAATACTGGGTGGTAGAAGCAAGATGAAGAAGATGAAGAAGATGATATCTTCCAAAGTTGCTTATCCAGCAGGAGCCCCCATTCAGTGTGGAACACTGGCGCGGCTCTCTGGGAACAGCTGAAGGGCAAGAGTTTGGATAAGAACAGAAAAGGACTGGAATTCTGCCTCGTTGTGACGGAGCTCAGGAAGATACTTGTAAAGAGCAAGAAATGTATCTTCACTGATTTCACTGCACGTTGAAGGACCCTTGTACGTTTCCAGTAATGGCCCCACTTTTTAGCCCATTGACAAGGACGCAGATAAGAAGTGCAGTGCAGTGCTTTACTCTGAGCAGGATTCCAAGCGCCTTGCCAACACCGCAGAAAAGATCATTCCGCAACACTTTTGCCAGTACTCTAGCTGCCATCCGTCTGACCGTGACAGGCCTGGATTCAGGGCTTTGCAATCCTGCAGGATGGAAAAAGGGTAAAGGCTTCTGCGCTCGTCAGGTGATCCTGCAATGAGAGCTTAAAAACCTAAGATTGACCGCTTCCAATTATTCCCGCTGTTTGCAAAACAGAAGCCACCAGAGTCTTGGGTACAACATGCAGTATGATCCTCGAACCGATCACATGTGATCGATCATGCCACGGCCTAGGCCTGTAATATCCTGTAATCAAAAGGATTTCTTCTTTCATTGTGACTTGTGGAGATTGCAGTGCTGAGGAGGTCCATGCGTCATGATCCCTACCTATGGTTTTCGACGATTCAGATTTGCACAGAACTCCGAAATCCAGAGCAGGCAGATTGAGGGAAATGCCCAAGAAAACATCAAGAAGATGCCAGCAAAAAAAAAATCAATTGACAGTAGTTGACCGTGCCAATGAAGTCGCCTTTACTAGCATCTCTTTTTAATATTTGGTTGTCCTTTATCATCTACCCGAGCACGCGCAGCAGCAGTTCAGGCTAGTTGGGAGAGAGTTAATCAAGTGAGCATGCACAAAACTGTACAAATGATTGCCTCTCTTTAATCATTTGCGCAAAAACCGCTCAAGGAAATATATGTTTTGATTTCTGTGGCTTCTGTATGCTTTGTGTGTATCAAAGTGTTTCCAGGCCTCGTTTTTTTGGTACATTCTGCCTTTTGCTTCAATCTCTACTTCTAGCATCTTCTAGCCAGCACCAACCGATCAGGTACGCAGAACCATGGCTGAGGACATGTTTGATACCTGAGTCCCCACAGGTGGCAGACAAGAGACTGGAAAGTAAAACAAACATAATACCCTCTGGTAATTTAACGTAGCTATTGAAAATGACCATTAATAGTGGGTTTTCCCATTAAAAATGGTGATTTTCAATAGCTATGTTAAATTACCAGAGGGTAACCAAATATAACCAACATTTGAAGAGTTTGAACTGGGGGTCAACCGGATTCAACTGTTGCGTTGCAGCGACACCTCTTTCCATCCGCTTGCGAGGAGTCAGCTCTGGATGAGCCGCAAGCTCCGCAAGCTCCGCAAGCTCCGCAAGCTCCGGTGCAGAAACCTGGCAAGGTCTGCCACCAAGCTCTTGCCGCAGATCATCGCAGATCATTGGATCCCCTATGATCACTCTATGATCACTCTATGATCCCCTGGTTGGGAATCCAGACATGACATATCATGACATCCATTGAAATTACATCGTTATACTTCGTTTTTTTTTTTAAATAGCTACTTCCATCAAAATCAAAACTAAACAACATCTAGAAACATCTAGAAACCTTTTCTTGCACATTTTTTAGTTTCTTCAGGATTGAAAGGATTTGTGACAGTCACAGGATCCATTGACAGAAGTGATGGTTGTGGCGCTGAGCTCCTTAAGGACCAGAAGCCTGTGGACCCAGGCGAGCATGCGCCTCAGACATAGGACAACTGCGCGTTGACTCGGAATTCATACGAACTAACTGTATGCAATTACAACATATATTACAATTATGTATATATATATATACATACACATGTATATGTCATAATATATGTGTATATATAGATTATACATATATATATATAATTATATATATATAAATTATATATATATAAATTATATATATATAAATTATATATAGAGAGAATATATATGTATAGAGAGAGATAATATATATACCCATGCATTGAGTTTGGCAGGCTTGGGTGTGCATGCATCATCTTTAAGTGCCTCAATGAATGCTATCATTTTGGCTCAAGTAAACTTGAACCAAAATAGCATTCATTGCTTTTTCTTTCTTGGTCTTGGTAAGGGGTGACCTTCCCAGACCTTGATTAATTGGTTCAGACTCGACACAAGGGGTGACCTTGTATGCAGCGCAAACTCCCAGGGATCGATATCCCGGCAGCCACCGAGGCGAAGATCCTCCATGCGGCTGCTTTCTTGGAGTTCAAGGGCCACGTGGAAAGGCTGGCACGGGAGGGCTCTGATTTGGCAGCATAAACATGCTGGATGCACGGGATTGAAGTGTTGCACTCCCCCTACGTCATCACTACTGGGACGGACTCAGAGTTTTTCCCCCCCTTGCCGAAGCTGCCCTGTTGCATTGATGACTGCCAGCGTTGCGCAGCTCATGTTGGGGGGTTCAAGTTCCCGTGGCTCAGCCTGTGGAATAGCCGGGGAGTTGTGCTGCCGGACGATGTGGCGCCTGCGGATGCTTGGGCGTACTACTACCAGCACCAGGACCCAATGGACCTACTGCTGGTTGCTGCCTACACAAAGCTCAAGGTGGCAGCCGACATCGTCCCCCAAGATCTCTACGGATTGCAGCTCAGG